CTGGCCTGGTGGCGTAGTGGTTAAGTGCGTGCTCCGCTGCGGCAGCCTGGGGTTCGCAGGTTTGGATCCTGGGCATGCACCATGGCACCGCTTGTCAAGCCATGCTGTGGCGGCGTCCCATATAAAGTAGAGGAAGATGGGCACGGATGTTAGCCCAGGGCCAGTCTTCCTCGGCAAAAAGAGGAGGATTGGCATCGGATGTTAGCTCAGGGCTAATGTTCCTCACAAAAAAATAAAAAAATAAAATAAAATTCCTGGTCCACACTTGTGCCAAATGCCATTAAATGGTCTTCTGATGCTGAAAGTTTTAAAAACGTTGTTGTGGGGGCCACTGACGTTTTAGAAATCAGAATATGATCTGATCAGATCTGTGTTCCAGAAAGATAACTCTGCTTGTCTGCAAGTATTAACTATATTATTGTGTTTTTATCATAAGATGCATTAAAAATTGGTAAGCATTTTTTGTCTCATTTTCACAATAATATCAATTGACCTACACCTGGCAGTCTGTATAATGAACATATGCTATAGATTACAAATTTGGCAGAGAAGGGAATGGGGGTAGAAAAGAGTAAAAGAAATATAACATGTCAAATTCTGAATACCAGTGCCTTATTTCTTAATCTGAATTGTAATTAAATCTCATTTTAGTTTGAGGACTGTGTCATAGCTACCAGCTCTTTAGTTTTCTTTCTTTCTTTTTTTTTTTTTTTTTTTGCTGAGGAAAATTGGCCCTGGGCTAACGTCCGTGCCCATCCTCCTCTACTTTATATGGGACGCCGCCACAGCGTGGCTTGACAAGTGGTGCATCACTGTGCACCCGGGATCCAAACCTGCGAACCCCAGGGCCACCGAAATGGAGTGTGCGCACTTAACTGCTACGCCACCGGGCTGGCCCCAGCCCTTTAGTTTTCAAAGGAAGTAAACTTACATGGAATAAAAAAGTTCCTCCCCTAGAAGCACTGATGTAGCATTTGAAAAACATATGAACTTGCATCAAAAGTTATTAACATGGTACTAGTCATGCAATCCAGTCACTGTACATTGAAGAACTCTACATTTTTTTAGGTACCAAAAAAGATAGTATCTTGAAGTATAAAATGATCTAATAAGATAATGTAAGTCTTATTAGATAATGTAAGTGAATTCTGTAGTGGTCTTCAGATACTACAGGTAGAATCCTATTTAATAAAGAATGACTTTGAAGGAGTCTTATGAGATTGAGCATGTCATCCTCCTTAAGTAAGATATACATACTTTTCTAAAAGTGTAATTGTATGAGACAGTCACACTGGGGCCACAAATAAATAGCTTTTGCTTTTTAAGCTTTGTAGTTTATTGCCACAGTACTATCAGTTGCCACTTCATTTTAATTCTTCTCGTTAATGCTAGATTAGTTCATCAAGAGACTGAGATGTTATAATAATGATGGACCGGACTAAAAGCCTACAGGTTTCATGAAATTCCTCCCATTTCAAAAGGTTTTGTCGTATTAACGTTTCAGGATACATTGGGCCTTAAGAATCGATGAGAGTAATCACAACATTTTGAAGCCCTACGTTTAGGGCTGATTATTGGAGCACACTGCACTGACCGGATTAATGTTTAACAGTGGCTGCCCTGTGGATTCACTTAGGAAGTTGGGAGATGGCAATTTTATTCTTCTTTATTGGACTGGTTTTATTGCACAATTAATTAAGACCTGCTTAAGAATAGCCTTTGGTATAAGGGTGGGGAATTGAAAGCCTTTAGAACAATGCAAATGTAGTAGTGAATTTATTTTCATGGCTGAAATAGCTACTTTTACCCAGTTTGGATTAATGAGATCAGATTTGATGTTGCTTGCTGGGTACAGCACTAATACTAAGAAACAACTCATTTTCTTGACTATATTCTGGGTTTTCAAAGTTACTAGGTGCTATTCAAGACCTGACCTCATATAGTAAGCTCATACGCAGTTCAGTTTTACATATTTTTCTCTAATTATGATGTGTACATAGAAAGACATAAAACATATGTATATAGTTTAAAGAATAATTATAATGTGAGCACTCAGGTAATCACCACTCAGATCAAGAAAAATGACCAGCATTCCAGAAGCCCCACCCGCACCCTGTGCTCCATTCAGAATGGTGACCTCCTTTCTCCCCGGGTAGCTACTGTCTTTACTTTTGTCATTTTCTTGTTTCTCTTTGTCATGTAGTCGCTTACATTTGTATCCTAAAATGAGATAATTTATGTTTGCCAGTGTTTGAACTTATATGAACAGAATCACATGATGTGCTCTATTGTGTCTGCATCTTGCACTCAGCATTATGTTTGTGAGATTTTATCCATGTTATAGCTCTCTAGTGCATTTTTTTAAAAACCTTTTCTATATTTACCTCTCTCCTTTTTTGACTCAGATCCCTGTAACTCTAAATGCTTTTGGATATTTCTATTTTGCCGTCTTGGATTTACTGCTAAATGAGGTCTGAAGACTGAAACTTGTCTGAACCCCAGGTTTCTGAACTCATCTGACTGTCCCCAGTTTGATGGTGTTTGTTTAGATGAGACTACATCTTTAAGGCTTCTGTGCTCGGTTAAAAATCTTCCTTTCTCCAAGGCTGGTCCAAGGGTCTGGTCACGTGATTCCAACAGTGACATCACATTCTGACCGCTGGGAACACTGGTGGTTCTTTAGGTGGCGTTTGTTCCTGTGAAAGGCAGAGAATGCAGCAAGTGCTCCTCTAAAGCAGTTCATACTGGGGCTCCTTCTGTAAAAGCTCTTCAACTTAAATGACCAAATGTGGGCTGCCAAGGTTATTTCTTCCTTGAAGCAGAAAAAAAGAAAGCTGTGATTGAAGGTAAGCTGACTTGAGCCTGGCCAAGGACCGAAGCGTGACCCCAGGGAGAAGGGGATCTGGAGAATCACAAGCAGTCTGTTGTCGGATTCTAATCACTGCCTGCTCTTTTAGAGCTGCCTGACAATTTGCGTTTCTAACAGGAGACTATCTACAAAGAAGGATGATGCAGTGCTCATGTTACCTAGTGATGTAATAGGATTCTTTCTTTCCTGTTAGGAAGCTTGCAGATCTTCATTTTGTCTCAGTATCCTTAGAGCTGGGGGCCTCATTTGATATACAGTGTAACATTAGATAGCTATGGGATGCTTTTAAAAATCAGTTTCACAAAATCCTTTTCTAATTTGTCCTGAAAGGAGCACTCTTAAAGCAGAGCCAATTCAATTGAAGCATGAACCTGCTTTAAAAAGTAAATTTCTGGTTGTTTGGTGTCCTGTGTTCATGTCAGCATTTGTCTTGAGAATTGAAACAGCTTGCTTTTTCCCCCCTCATGTACTTTATTCTCTTTCTGCCCTCATTTCCTAGCTGGCTGTTTCCCTCCAAGCTCTCAAACAACACACCAACATTAATCTTTATCAGTATGCCACTGACATGATAGGAAATGCTGGGCTGGTGATTCAGCAGCCAACCATTTTACAGCCAGGTATGCTCAAAGATATGGAAAGGACTTTGGTTAGGGGTTTTAAGATTAACTTGTTTAACTCCTCCACTGGATCCCCACCCCCACCCCCCCCATATGATTTGGATTTTGCAGAGCTTTTCTTTTCAAATGTGTGTATTGCTTGTGAAAGGTATGCTGAATTAGGTATTCAGAAGACTTACAGTTTGTAAACCAGGTCCAGCTGGGTGTTAATTCAAACTTACCCTGTAAGCAGAGTGCTGAAGTTGTCTGTTAGGAGTTTAGAGTGAAGATGGGGATGCAGATGGGTGAGAGGGGGTCAGCTCAGGCTCACTTTGGCCTTCTCTGCAGAGGGATTCATCAGCAGTCTGGATAAAGCTTTGTCCCTGCCAAGGTGGATGCTGCAAATGTGAGCTTTGGCTGGTAGAGTTCCATGATGGCGTTACTGTGCGTTTTTCCTCAGTATATATTTGCGTAAATTCCTGAATACGGTTTTACATTTTGTGTTTAATAGTAAAACATTGTTCCACCAGAGGATTGTGGAAATATTTTGGACAAGTTTGTTAAGCAATACTAAGTAACCTTGTGTGAGTACAAGTTCTGAGTTTGAATACTTCTCCCTCATCCCCACTGTTTATAAAACAAACTTTGGTTCAGCTGATATTTATTGAGTCTTGAATATGTGCTAGACACTGGAGAAGGCAATGATGAATCAGATATAGGCTGCCCTCAAAGAGCTTCTAGTCTAGAAAGGAAGGTAAAGTATTTGCATAAGTAATTGTAGTAGAAGCGCTAAAGCAAAACAGATAAAGGACTGTGATGGTTGGGCAAATGGGTATGTTTCTTTCAGTTGAAGGATCAGAGAGGGACATTTCATCGCTGAGCCATGCACTGTTCTTTAAATCTCTACCTGTAAATCTTAGACTGTTCTGACATACTCAGTAAAAGTTTCTATAAGCCCATTACATCAAGGAGCAAAGTCTTATACCTACTGAAGGGAAATATGTACGTTCCAGCAAGCTTAACTCTTGAAGAGCCTGACATGCTTTCTTGGAGTCCCCACTCAAAGCCACCTCCTAGGACTGAATTACAAATGTGTATTTTAAATTGAATTATAAATTATAAAATTACTGAATTATAAATGTAAAATGGGTTCTGATGTGATATGTCTGCAAAGACCTTTGACCCTTTGGTCTCCCTTCCGTTACGGAAACTGAAATACCTAAGTCGCTCCTGTCTTTTGTTTCATAAATCCTTTCCCACTGCACTTCAGCTCCTGTCAATTCTCTCTTTGTACTGTCACTCTCATCTGTCCCTTTCCATTCACACTGCCTTAAGACGCTCATCATTTTGTGCCTAGACCACAGAAACCTCTGAATGTGATGAATGTTCCCACCAGGTGATTATATAGCTTTATCAGCACACCCTAACTGTAGTTGTCTAATAGTTTAAGGGCTCACCTTTTGGTGCGCAGAAAGGAGGTATGAAAAATGTCCAGAGTGTCTGAAGTACTAATGTCTGTTTCCTGTTCAATACAGAGGACAAGTCATACAATGGTGGAGGAATAGGTTCTTCAAATAGGATGATGGACTTCTTGGAGGAGCCAATCCCTGGTGTGGGGACCTATGATGATTTCAATACAATTGACTGGGTGCGAGAGAAGTCTCGAGACCGGGATAGGCACCGAGAGGTAAGACAAAAGATGGTACATGACTAGGTGTTAGAAAACAGAAGGGGAAGAAGTTGAAAATATATATTGTTTATGTATTCTTTCCTTCAGCCCTGGATGTGGCTGAATCTGGTTTTTATTGGCAATGTAGGGTTTTATTTTTTAATTTACTTTTAAGGCATCGTATATGATTTTGAAAAGAATTTGTATTTAATGATGATTTGTCTTCCTGTAGTAAGCAGTTGAAAAGGATCCTTGCAGCCCTGAAATGGGTATAAATGCCTATGCAGAGAGGTGAAAACAAACTTGGTGGAAGGGAGCAAAATACATTTCAAAGATCTTCCTTCCTCATCTCATCTCTCTTTTATGGTTTTCCCTTGAAGCAGGATTTTTAGAACTAAGAAAAGTAAATGGTCTCCTTTTAAAGGAATGAAAGAAAAAAAATCTCAGAGCCCTAGTGTTTACTGAAGCATAGAAGATAAACCCCTTGTGATTATAGCTCCTGTACAACCATGAAACCAAAGCAAATTGAGGCATTCAACTCAAACAAAACCACGAGGCCAATCAAATTCAAATTAAATATATTAATTTAATATGAAAGGTAACAGATGGTACTTATGGGTATGACACAGATTCTTTTGAATTTGGCAAGAGAATTTCCCCACTTTTCTCTTTTCCAAGTACTGTGAAAACTTTTCAAAGCAGTCTGCCAAGGTCATTTGCCTTTAACTTGTTGCTGTGTATCATTTACATCAGAGAATCACAGTTTCTAGTTTGTGTCAGGAGCACATGGAGAGCTTACTAAAAAGGTAGAACCCCAGCCCCAGCGATCCTGATTCAGTAGGTGATCCTCTGGTGAGGCATTTCTTTAACCAACAGTTGGTATTATGATGTTTTTCTTTCTTTATTATTTCTGTTGTGACTTCAAATTTAAAATTTGATTTTTAAGCTGGCCCCATTCTCTCCTGAGTTCATGATTTCCTCCTCTCAGAGCTGAGCAAATCTCCTGAGCAGTCAGGTTTGGATCACTTTTCATTCTTAAGCCTTTCACAGCTCCTGACTGGTTTTCTCATGACCACCTGAACCCAGGAGTCAGGTTGTCACAGGTATAGGTTTTGAGAAATTCCTTTGTAATCCATGGATTTGTGATAATCCCACTGAGTTTTCTTATTGTAACTAAAAAAGGTGATCTCTATAAAACATTGTACATTTTTCATAAGGTTTCTATTATTTGGGAACACACACATACATATTCTTTCTGTCTGTCATATCAATTCATCATGCAAGCTTTAAAATTTAGAATCATATGGCTTTAGAATCTCTGCTATCTGTATTTCAGAGTTCAGTTTGTCACCAGTTGCATATTCAACATGTTATTCACATTGTGAAATTCACCTGTGATGTGACAAGGCGTATTTCCCATTATAGTAAAATGGTGGCATCTGAGACAAATTATGCCATGAATAATAATTCACAATCAATTAAAATGTGTTTATCAAATGTTAGCATTTAGTTTTTTAGCATTAACTTTTCATCATCAGAATGGAAACACTGTCACAGGGAAAAATATCACCTCATATACTTTCAACATTGAAACTGGAAACTTAGGGTCATAGGTCAAAATGAATTTTTAAGCTGCTTTTAAAATTTCTATAATAATTTATTATTATTATTTGTGATGTTGCTGTAGATGAAGATGGGGTAGCTAAGTCACAGTTTCAAAGATAAGAAATAGCGGTACAGAGAAGGGCAAAGTACCAATGACAAAGCTGTCAGAATGCTTGGTTTTGAAATGTGGGCACTAAAGGGTTAAATTGACATGGCTAGGACCTAAAAGGTAAAACTTTCTGCACCTCTTGATAGCCTCAGATATTCCAAGCAGGTTTTTGAAAATAAAGAGATGCAGTCCTGATATCATTTAGTATCTATGATCAATGTACAGTTAGGGGTTTGTGGAATCAAGTCTTGGAATTTGCCTGACCTGAAGCACAGCCCCAGATAGTAAACCTCAGATTGTACTTTCACCACTCAAATAAGCCCATGTTTGTTTATTCTTTGGAAAACAATCAAACTATTTGCTGTGTGTCAAGAGGCCATCCTTAGAATATCTGATGCCCAGGGCAGGAAGAGACCACTGCAATAAGCAATAACAGAGTGATGCTATAAGAAGTTGGCAGCTGAATGGGGAAGCCCTGAATCAGGTACTTGCAGGCGTTGCAATACTGTAGGCGAAGGTGGGGTTCAGTAAGACAAGGTCCAGTCAACCTCAGAGTTCTTTGTGGCGTTGGTTCAGCCAAAGATTATGTGAGAAGTAACTCCAAGTTGGTCTCTATTCTCAATGAATAGATTTGTCTTTGTGCTTCTTTACTCTATTGCACATTTTGAGGTGAAAAAGCAAAGGTGTATGTAGAGTGTACCAATGTTTTCTCATTTCTCCCTAGATTACCAATAAAAGCAAAGAGTCCACATGGGCCTTAATTCACAGTGTGAGTGATGCTTTTTCTGGCTGGTTGTTGATGCTACTTATTGGGCTTTTATCAGGTATGGTAAACTATGTTAGTTTTCTAAACAAATCTCCTAAAACTGTGGTGTGCCCCTCCCCCAAGTCATGAATGAGTTGAGTGCTGTGCTTTACCGTTTTCCTACGTGATATGAATTACTGGTGGACCTTTTAGAAGCTTGACATCCCCATCTGTAAAGGGGTAATAATACCTGCATCTCCTTCCTTAAATAAATGAGATGAAATGAGGAAATGCATTTAAATGCATTTGTATGCTATAAAGTATTTTATCCATTTTAAGGTATTGTTAGCACTGCCTTTTGGTGCTTGTCTTGAGGAAGAGCCCTTCTGTTGGAGACAATAACTTTTTTTTAAAACACGTACTGCATGGGGTTTAGAAGAGAAGATGTAGAAGAGGACTTCCTGAGAGATTTTTATAGCTATTTCTTAAACATCTACTCTCTCAATTGGTGATAAAGAAAAGCACGTAAGATATGGCTCATACTCTCAAGTTGCTTACAATCTCATTCTTTCATGGTGGCTGAGGAGTGGGATGGTACCACCTCTTCCAATCGTCTTCATAAACCCCCCAAGCCACTCCAGTCTAACTAGAAATAGTACACTTGCTATGTAAGTACAGCTTTAAATCAAATTCCCAAGCAGGCTTCCCCTCCTGTGGGAGAAGCAGAAAGCCAAGAATACCAGACAGAGATGCTAGGAGTTGTACCTTATGGCACTAAAAGATGGGTCTAGGAAGATCTGGAATATTGAGCTAAAATAGAAGTCAGGTGGGAAACCTGGAGTTGGATGGGATGAAATGACAGTTAACAGCAACAGGCTGTTTGTGGCTACCTGGATTTGAATCCCACCTCCTTGCTAATTTTGTGACTTTTGGCAAGTTTCTTAACCCTTGGAAGCTATAGTTTACCAATCTGTAAAATAGGGATAATAAGAGTACCTATATTACATGTTTGTTGTGAGCATTAAATGAGATTATAGCACACAGCACTCAGCACAGTGCCCAGTTGTTAACGATGCTGCTGCTGCTAATACATAGTGGTAATTCATGAGCCATGGAGTATAAGATGATTGCTGCAAATGAGCAATGGCTCATCCATAGCTGGGTTTTCAAAGATTATCTAGGGCAGGGGTCAGCAAACTTTTTCTGTAAGGGGCCAGATAGTAAATATTTTAGGATTTGTTGGCCACATGGTCTCTGTAGCAGGTAAGCAGCCATAGACAATAGGTAAACAAATGAGTGGGGCTGTGACCAGGAGAAACTTTTATTTACAAACATAGAGGCTAAATTGACCCTTAGGCCATAGTTTTGCCAACCTGTGGTCCAGAGTATTAACACTGCTGCTTCTGGCTCGCACAGTATAGAGCTGGCTAATAAGACTGGACGGTCTGTGATGCCAAGTATTGTAGAGAAGCCAAAGAGAAGGAAGAGGGCTGAGAAAGGGTTATATAGTTTAGCAGTTAGGGGGACACCAATGACCTTGAAAAACCATCTCAGGTAAATATTAGGAGCCAGATTTCAAAGGGAAGCAACCAGTGAGTGTAGAAGTTTTGGAGATATTTGGTAGTCATTGGAAGGAAAGAAGGGACAGAAGCTTGAAATGGTAACAAGGACAAGGGAAAGCATTTAATTCTTTAGGGTATGGGAAACCCAATAAAATTTGTAACCAGGGAAGAAAGAGCCAATTGGAAAAAGAAGGAGGAGAAATAGAAGTAGAGGGAAGATAGAATCGAGGGTACCAGTGTTGAGTAGAATATGACATGCACACGTGGACCCACCAGAGAACAAGCCAAACTATAACATCATGTTAATTTTCTGAATCCAGACGATTAGTGCAATAAGATTTAGAAGGAAGAGAAGACGGAGGCTGGAGTGGCCAAGAGTAGGTGTCAAACAATGTATTAGATTTGACTAGGTTATTCAAGTATGTAAATGACCTGTGTTAACACTTTTAGCACCTACCAAAACATACATGTGACATGGCCTCCAGCCTGTTGGAATGTAGGTGTAATATTCTCAACTTTTTAATGTATTTCTTGTCACTAGGTGGTCAGTGAATATTTTTCTTTCCCTCATACACACAGGGTATTTTGTATTTTAAGCATTGGAGAGCAACAATAGAGGCAGTGTGTCTGAATGCAGGAACAGTCTGGGAATTCAGGGGCTATGAATTTTATAATGTCTTTGCTATTTCCCTAAAGCACGATTCTACACCATTTAATTTCTTTATGCCAGAGTTTCTTCATCTGGGCTACAGAAATGATGAGAAGACCAGAATCAAAAGTATTATAACTATCTTAACCCTATGAGTCTGTTAGCCATAGTGCATATGTCCCCAGTTCACTATTCATTTTCTCACAGTTTTCTTTGATGAATGTTCTGTGTATAATATTCTTCGCTCCTTCTCACTAAGAAAACTTCAGAGTGTTCACGTCCTAGGCTCAGGAGACTTCAGCATGTCTGCAGCTTCCTCTAACCTTCCATGTACATCACAGTTGGTGCTTTTATAAATTCAGTTCCTTTAGCCTAGAATGCCTTCATGTCAGCAGCTCAAATTCTCTTGTCCATGGAGCAAAATCACTAAGACTGAGCCCTTCTCGCCATAGTCTTCACCAGCTCCCTTCCACAAGCCATCTCAAATAAATGTCATATAATATTCTTCAATGCGGGCAATTCACATTTTCTCAATCTTATGTATATAGTGAGAATAAAATAATCTTTAATAAACTTGACTGTCTTGATGGATCAGTATTCATCAACTCTAAGTCAAGGCAGAGTCTTTCCCATGTAAATCAGCTAAAAGTCAAATCCACTTACCCCTTGCTCCCACCCAACCACTTTGCTCTCCTCTAAGATTCCCCTATATAGAAATTCCACAGACACAGTGTTTAATGTGGACAGTGTTTTTATTTTCCCCTTCCTGAACAGGCATTTCATGTTAAAATAGGTGAAATCTATTAGAAGTAATAGGTAAAAATCAAGCAGACAGATAATCAGAAAGAGGTTGCAGATGGAATGGGAAAGTATATGCTTGTCCTTTATTTTAATTCTTCTTCCCTCATTTTCCCTGACAACTTTGGCCTTTCCTTTCCTCCCCTCAAATCAGGTTCCCTAGCTGGCTTGATAGACATCTCTGCTCATTGGATGACAGACTTGAAAGAAGGTATATGCACAGGGGGATTATGGTTTAACCATGAGCACTGTTGCTGGAACTCCGAGCATGTCACCTTTGAAGACAGAGACAAGTGCCCAGAGTGGAATAGCTGGTCCCAGCTTATCATCAGCACGGACGAGGTAACATGTTGTGAAGATTTCTGAACCACTGACTTTTATTCTTACATTTACTTTGTTTCTTATACTGTACTTGTGGCAATTGTGGAATCTTCCCCTGTTTTCCTTTTCGTGAAAAGGGGAACCAGTGTCAGCTGCCTTTCTCTGTGGTTTAAACGCAGCCCTGTTTCCATCTCTTTTGACATGTGGAGTTGTTTCATGCTTACACAATGACTTAAAATTTTTGTTTGTTTTAAACGAGCCTGGTATTTCTTCTTAATTGTTAGTACATAGTGTAACTAAATCTATCTTTCCCTAATAATTTCAGTAGAAATGTCGGAGCCAGCGAACAGGTGAGCTATAATTTCTAACGGGATGGAGTGGGTTAAAAATGTGTTTATCATGTAGACTCCAAAAGTAGTGTTTCCCTGAGCATTACATTACAACGTTAAAAAAATTATGATACATTCTATATCAAAATAACAAAAACCCAGGAGTAAAATTGCCTCTAGTCCCATTTTGAGGTTAAATCAGTGTTTTCATTTGTCCTTGTCTTCTAGCCTATGGTTTTCGATGCAGAAGTAACATTGTTTTTCAGCTCCTTACCTTTCCATTACCACTCGGTTGTATGTTAGATCTCTCCTACTAAAAACACACAAGAGAAAACAAAATAATCCTTAATTCCCAATTCCACTCTGACTTCCACCAACTAAAACAGGTACCATCTTGGCTCACTGCTCATCCACTGTGGTAGTGAAGTGAGGGGGACAAGACTAGGATATATGTTTGTACTTTTAAATTAAATTTATTTTTATACCTACTTTGGTCCACAAACAATTTGAAATGGCGCGCACGCACACACACACAGAATCAGTCAAGGGAAAAGAAGGATAGGAAAATAATAAAGTCAGGAATAAGAGTGTTTAAGTACATATATCACTGTGCATAGTGACTTGGGGAAAGAGTTCAATAAAAGGAGTAGATCCATATGTAGGGGAGGGTTGAAGTCTATGCTTCTCAAACTGGGGTAAGAGCAGCGTGCCAGAGGGTAGGTGAAACCACAGGATAAACACTATGTGCCTTCCCAGAAGATCAGTTTTTCCTGAATATTTGGAAGAAATTTTTTTTTGAAAAATTACATTTAATTAAAAAGGAATGCAAAATTCCCATGTTTGTTAAGATAAAACATAATCTCTATTTCAGCTCTGCTCCTGGGTACCCCACCCCCTACCCTCTCTCCTAGATTAGGAGTACTTGGGTAGAAAAGTTTGAGAAGCCCTGGAATTTAGGGTGAGTCTGTGTGTGTATGTGTGTGTATGTATGTCATTCCCTTGCTTTTTTTTTTTTTTTGACTTTTATTTTTGAAGTAATTATAGATTCACAGGAAGTTGCAAAACAATGTACAGGGAGGTTCTCCCCCCACTCCATATACCCTTCACCCAGCCTCCCCCAATAGTAACATCTTATATAACTATAGTATAGTACCAAAACAAGGAAATTGACATTGGTACAATCCACAGACCTTATTTCACCAGTTTTACAGGCATAGATGTGTGTGTGTGTATTTCTCTGCAATTTTATCACATGTAGATTTATGTAACCACCACCACAATCAAGATATAAAACTATTGTTCCATCACCACAACGTTCCCCTGTGCTACCCCTTTATAGCTGTGTGTGTGTGTGTTTAAGTGTTCCAACCATAACTTTCAAACTGGAGCTTGAGATTTGCTCAAGCTCCTTTTTATGAATGAAATCCTTGCTTGGGGAAAGAGTCTTCTAGGTTTTAAGAAGAGTTCTCCTGCCAAGGACTTGGCCTCCTGGTCTCTGCCTCTAGCTGATTTCAGCTGCTTTTTCTTTTACTCCCTTCCCCTCTTTGTCTCCTACCCCTGGAGGCTTCGACCTCCTTAGCTACATTCGAAAGGCCAAGAGAGAGGAATTATTTGTTCCTCTGAGGGACTAAGATAAGGGAAAACCTGTGTCAAAATTATAACTCAGAAAAAAACCTGAGCGTTTTGGTTCTCCTTGTCTAAGTCAGTGAATTATTTTACTAATGTTTATGTTTTAAAAAGTCAAAAGTGGGGTCGACCTGGTGGCATAGCGATTAGGTTCGCACGCTCCGCTTTGGCAGCCCAGGGATCACAGGTTCGGATCCTGGGCGCAGACTGATGCACTACTTGTCAAGACACGCTGTGGCGGCATCCCATGTAAAGTGGAGGAAGGTAGGCATGGATGTTAGCCCAGGGCCAGTCTTCTTCAGCAAAAAGAGGAGGATTGGCAATGAATGTTAGCTCAGGGCTGATCTTCCTCGCACACACACAAAAAAGTCAAAAGCCTATTGAATTTTGTGTTTCATGTAATTTGAGTGAGTTGCAACTTCTAATATTTTGATCAGCAAGCATAATCAACTAATGTTCAAAATAGCTTTTTTGTAAGGCATAACTATTTGCAAGCCCTTTAATGTTGGCGAATCCTTATTGGTGGTCAAAATTAGATTTCTCTTCTAGCAGACTTCATTATCAGAGGGGGATAGTCTCAGAAGTATATTCTCTCCATTTTAAAAATAGCTCTTGCTGTTTTATCGTTGGGGATATCTGGCATCTCGCTGGCTTAGTTTTATGGTCAGAGCCTGAAACTTTCTGCTGCATGTACTTGTTGCTGAGTCTGTGGTAGCAAAATTCTCTCCAAGATGTGGTTGTTCTCTACAGAACTTAATTGTGTATTTTAAGAAAAACACTCAGGAATTTTAGACTCTATAATCTCCTGGGAGAATTTGACACCAAAGTAGGTAGCTAGCCCGTCTTCACTTCAAATGTGTAGCCAATGTTCAGCCGTTCCAATAAAAGAGCGGTTAAGACTTAATAAAATTGACATAGAATCTTGTATATTTGCTTACAAAACCTATCAAAGCACTCATATAGACAGTGAATTTGCTTCAGGGTTTTGTTTGCCCTTTCTTCTTGTCCATCCTTAGAAGCCGTTGTCGATTTACTTTGCGTGTAGCAAGGCCTCCTATGCAAGTGGGCCAACACTGTCCCAGTAGTTGCTTTGCTGACTGTCCAGGAAGGTACATCTTCAGCAATTTAATAATGGTGTTTTTCTTTCTGACCTCCTCTCCTGAAAACCCATTACTCAGAAGAGCTGCATGCCCCACTGAGGCTGTCTGGGCTAAAACAAGCTTCTTTCTTTTTTCCCTTTTCTAGGGAGCTTTTGCCTACATAGTCAATTATTTCATGTACGTCCTCTGGGCTCTCCTGTTTGCCTTCCTGGCCGTATCTCTTGTCAAGGTGTTTGCACCTTATGCCTGTGGCTCTGGAATCCCTGAGGTGAGTCTCTAAAATGGCTTATAAATGGTAACAATAATGACTCCTTTCTGGTTAAAGTCTTTTGATATATATTCCAGCATATCCCACAACATGGATATTAAATAGGATCAGATCCTGAGGCAATCTAGAGCCTCTCTAGGTCTCCCCTTGAGTCTCCTCCCCTCCTGGGCCACGTGGACATTAAAGGGAGTTGATTCCTAGCCTCCTGTGAGTTCCTGGTGAACCAGACCCCTGAAGACCTCCCCCACTCCCTACCCAAGAAGTTCCCAGGGCAGAGCCTAAGATTCTGGCCTGAAAAAGTAGTGGTATTATCAACTTTGTTGAGCAGAAGCTATAAAACTATTTTACTACATTTCCAACAATATGATTTGGGCTAGAAGGAGGGTGACTACAACCCTGTCCCTAACTACTTTTGGTTTAGATTGCTTGACTGTGACTGAAACCACTGAGATTTTAGGTTACCCGGATGACCTTGCCCCTCTCTGTTTCCTGGAGCAAGTCATAGTTACAAAGTTCTTTGGCAGAGTATCAAGGCTATACTAGCTTGTAAGGATGTAAGTAAGGAAAACACCCTCCCTGTCTGCCTCCCCTTCTCCATGTCCACACAGTCTCCTACTTACAATACTCCCTTGCCCAGCTATCACATGGCCAAAAATAAAAGGGAACATGAAAGCTTAAAGAGTTCTCGCTTTCTTGGGCTTTTCTTAAAAAGTTCTCGCTTTCTTGGGCTCCTGGGCTCCCTCCCAAACTGGGATCACTGTAGGTCAAGCATTTACATGTCACTTGTTCAAAAGGTGCAGTTTCCATAATGAGGTCCAGATTATTGCTTTTTAGCCTTATTTACTTGCTTGGTCTATATTCAATCTCTCTGTGTTTGACCTGCAGATTAAAACTATCTTGAGTGGTTTCATTATTAGGGGCTATTTGGGTAAGTGGACCCTGATTATCAAAACCATCACATTGGTGCTGGCAGTGTCATCTGGCTTGAGCCTGGGCAAAGAGGGTCCCCTAGTGCACGTGGCTTGCTGCTGCGGGAACATCCTGTGCCACTGCTTCAACAAGTACAGGAAGAATGAAGCCAAGCGCAGAGAGGTAATAACAAATGGCCTTAATAGTCTCCTTTTTGGTGAGAGCATGAATGGTCCAATCTTAGGGATGAGAATTTGGGGGTTCTACCAATGTTAATGCAGATACCCCTTGACCCAGCAGTTCTGCTTCTAGGAATTTATCCTCCAGACTTCCTAGCATGGGTGTGTGCAAAGGTGGATGGGGATAGTCGGTGCAGCATTTGTCAACATAGTGAAAAACTGAAGCAATCAAAATGTCCGTCAGTGGGGGCTGATTGAATAAACAATAGTCTGTTCATACTATAGAATATTATGCAAGCATTACAAAGAATGAGATAGCCCGCTGACATGAAATGATGGCTATAAACATCTTTAAGTTTCAAAAGCCAATTTTGGAATAATGTGTATAGTATAATTCAATTAATGTTTTTTAAAAGTGTGTATATATGCACCTAGAAAGAAACATCTGGAAAGTAGTTTTACCCCAAACTGTTAAAAATGTCTACCTCTGGTGAGTGGGAAAGTGAGGTGGTAGTAAAGGAGACGTAAGGACTTTAACTTTTTATTATCTATAATCCTATACTAGTGTGTGCTGTTTCTATTACAAAATAAGTTACAAAAATAATAGAAGATTGTTTTAAGAAGTTGTTTATTCCTGTGAGAGAATATAAATTCAGCCTGTGTTTCAGATGCCAGCTTTTTAATCTTTTATTTCTATCTAACACTACACTGAATTAGTTTCTCTCTGTAATGGATCTCTCTCTGCCTTCTACTTCAACCCCGCTAAGTTAGTCCCATCACAGCATCTCTGTAGTTGTTCTCATGTTTTTGCAGTTGTTAATGTATATTATTTTGAAGAGGAAGAACATTTTTTAAAAATTGTTCCAAGTCATTGGTTACTTTTGTCCTGCTATAATTAAGGATTTAAGAAAACAATGGCTCATGTTCTGTTTTCCCTGAATTACGAAGAAATCTCATATAGAATGGGTCAAGACCAGGGTCATTTCATTAGAAAGGACTTTTCACAAAATTGGAACCTAGTGATTTATTCTGAAAACAAAACAAAACCAAATTAACTGTAAGACCCAGACGGAAAATCAAAGATGTTGAAGTTTCCAATATGGAATACATTTTGATAGTTCAAGGGGGAAAGTTCCTGGCAGGAGAGGAAGGCTAGCAGGAGAGAAAGAGGGAAATCTGAGTAGGTTGTTTAGCTACCTGTCAAATGGTGGCGGGACATAAAGGCAGTATTAAATTGGTGAGGTTGTCAGACAGGAATAATGTACAACAGAAGCTAAAGAGTTGAAAAAAACATTTTAACTGGCAAGAATAAAGTGTTGATTGTTGCTGGTTTTGCATGAGTAGAGGTGACTTCGAAACTATAGATTGCAGGTTGCTTTCATTCCATAAAATTGGCATTTTTGTTCAGATAGTTTCTTATAAAATGAGAGAGGAGTTTGATTTGGCCGTTTCTCTGTGCAGATGTCATATGTTTCTCTAACTAGACTCATGAATATTTGAATCTTTAGTTTACTTCCTATTGCTTATATAGACTTTCCAGTTCTTTTCTCTGTTGTTCTCGCCATCAGCAGCAAGCCTTTTGTGTCCCGGGGCCTTGTCAAAGTGGGCAGATAGTTGAGAGTAAAATAGAGATTTGAGAAGGAAGGGCATAGACAGACTTCACTCTACAGAATAAAATTACAGCAAACTAGCCACCTCGATTCTTTCTTCTCCCTCATAATTCATGCTGAACAGAGTCACTGAAATCCCCTTTCTCAAGTTCCAGGTTGACTGTCCTTGTCCTTCTCAGATGAAAGCCATTATAGCCACGCATTTCCAAGCCGTCCCCAGCTAGCACCAGCTTTCCGTTAGTTTCCTGGGCCATTCTGCACTCCCAGAAAAACCTGCCGATTTATTTTGCCAAGAGCCATTTTATTCTTCAAAAACTCTTAATTTTGTTCAACTTTCTCTTTAAAATATTTCCTTACTACCCCAAATCATATACCATTCCACAGCAACCAGAATCCAATGAAAGGATTTGGTCCTTCTGTCAATTCTGGTGTGTTTGTCCTGCACATTTTACATGCACATGTGTATGCCTACACACAAAGGTGGCACTCTCTAAATATCACTTGCTCTCTTTCCCTGTCTCTTTACCCCTTTTTATTTCCCTCTGACAGCTTCTTCCTCTTCCTCTTCCCCTCCCTCCTGGCCCTTTTCCTTGCCACATCTAAACATACTTAGGTCTTCTCTTCCCTTCAAAATCTATCCCTAACCTTGCTTCTAGTTGCCTCTATTTCTGTTTCCTTAGGTCACTAGGCATGGAGTAGGGCACATAAGCCTAATTTAGGAAACCCTAAATACCTACTCTATGAATATATGCACTTGCTGAATAGCTGTGAGCCAACTGTTACTTCATTTTTGTATCATTAGAGCCTTCTTTAAAATCTCATTTAGAAAGCATTCCTTTATAGAGAAAATGCTATGTAAATACATCACTGTAAGTACTTCATTTAGGTGGTGAATAGGTCTACAAACTCAAATGCAGTTACTGAATTGGGAGTATTGGGGATGGGGAGCATAATTTGGAATAAAGTAAATGCCTGAATTAATTACAAAGGAAAAGCCCTCTATGTGTTCAAGCGTGTGAACCATGTGTTCAGAATTCATCGTACAATGTTTGCTCTCAAAGTAAATATAGATTGAGCTTCATTTTTTATAAACTGGATATGGAGCATATAAAGGTTTTTGTTTTTTTTTTTAATGTTTAGTAACCACTAACATTCCTTTTAAAAATGTGATTGAAGATAGGAAAGTGGCATTATTCTATCACTAATTTTGAGTTTTGGATCGTAGGTCTTGTCGGCTGCAGCAGCAGCTGGTGTATCTGTAGCCTTTGGGGCACCTATTGGCGGAGTATTATTCAGCCTGGAAGAGGTAACTATTTTTAACTGTCTGTAGAGCATGTGCATGCGCGTGCTTGTGTGTCAGGAATTGTACCCAGTGTCTATGTACATTGCAGTCCCAAAGTGCTCTTCCCACTGCAGTGCTTTACCAGGTCACCAGAGATCTCTGGGCAGTTTTCATCCTCACCTCTAATTCCTGCAGCACCAATTTTTAACTCGAAATAGTTTGTGCATATTGATTGAGTTTGTTTTCTCACCTTCTCTCTTATAGGTCAGCTACTATTTTCCCCTCAAAACGTTGTGGCGTTCGTTCTTTGCTGCCTTGGTGGCAGCATTTACTCTACGCTCTATCAATCCATTTGGGAACAGCCGCCTGGTTCTATTTTACGTGGAGTTTCACACCCCATGGCATCTCTTTGAGCTTGTGCCATTTATTCTGCTGGGCATATTTGGTGGTCTGTGGGGAGCTCTGTTTATCCGCACAAACATTGCCTGGTGTCGGAAGCGTAAGACCACTCAGTTGGGAAAGTATCCTGTCATAGAGGTACTGGTTGTGACAGCCATCACTGCCATCCTGGCTTTCCCCAATGAATACACCCGTATGAGCACAAGTGAGCTCATTTCTGAGCTGTTTAATGACTGTGGCCTTCTGGACTCCTCCAAGCTCTGTGATTATGAGAACCGTTTCAACGCAAGCAAGGGGGGTGAACTGCCCGACAGACCGGCTGGTGTGGGAGTCTACAGTGCCATGTGGCAGCTGGCCTTGACGCTTATACTGAAAATTGTCATTACTATATTCACCTTTGGCATGAAGGTGAGGAGATTCTTTTGATACCTGGTGGATGTGGATGTGGCTGTGGGTTTGGAGGGCAAAGCCAAGATATCATACAATCCTCATAGCTCATGTGACACTTCCAATTTCACCCAATGTCATCCCCCACCCCCAAAATCCCTTTTTACCCCTACGTGTCCTCATAACTTCTTAGACAGTTGTACCTCTGTCTAAAATTGTCCAAGCCTAGTGTTAGGCCAAATGCAAACCTCAGTGATGAGATTTTAAGTAGAAATGTTTTCTCCTTTTCTATGGAAAACATATTTTGCCCCTCAAAAAGGATGGTGAGGTATTTATTCCAGTGCATTTTATATTAAAACAGTATCCGACCAAGACTGTTGGTCCTTATAGGGTGGATTTAGAGTTTACCAATAAAGCAAAATATTAGGTTGAACCAAATGAAGTTGCCAATAGTCAACTATTTTGACCGCTAAGATAGCAATTTCATATATTTCAACCCAGTATATAGCTAAGTGTATTTTTTACAGTTGGTATCAATGTCCAATGATCAAGAACTTCACAGGTGATTCTAAATATTTAAACTATCAAAAGCAGACATCAAGCCAGCACGTTTTATTTTCAGTACCCATTATCATTTCCACGATTCAGAAGAAACCAGAAAGGAAATGATGTTAAGGTTGTTCTTCCTCCCTAGGTTTTTCTTTGTTTGTTTCTTTTCTCTAGCACCCCACTACCAAGTTGTTTCCCTCTATTCTCTAAGGAAACGGAGATTCAAACCAGAGAATAAGAGACAGCAACTCAGTTTGGGCAGTACTGTAATCTCTGAGATGGTATCCATCCTCCTCAACACCCTGGAAAGTTTTATAGTGCTTCTTAAGTTAATTTTCACCTGGTAGCTTCATTCTTACATTTAAAGTAAATTTGCAGACCATCAGACCTACACAGATTCAAGTGTATTCCAAAATCAAACACAAGCTATTTTAAAATAATCTGCTGTTTTGATTATCCTTGTTGTCATTTCCCTCTCAGCACAGAAAATTGAGAATTCACTATAGTATCCTAGGCGTCAAAAAAAAGAGTGGGGAGACAGATGAGGGTTCCTTTTTGGGATAGTCATGCAACCATGGTCACTACCCCATTTAAAAAATTAATTATTATTATTTTTTTTTTAGAAAGCAAGCAAGCTTTTTTTTGTGTGTGTGTGTGAGGAAGATCAGCCCTGAGCTAACATCCATGCCAATCCTCCTCTTTTTGCTGAGGAAGACTAGCTCTGAGCTAACATCTATTGCCAATCCTCCTCCTTTTTTCCCCCAAAGCCCCAGCAGACAGTTGTATGTCATAGTTGCACATCCCTCTAGTTGCTGCATGTGGGACGCGGCCTCAGCATGGCCAGAGAAGCGGTGCGTTGGTGCGCGCCTGGGATCCGAACCCGGGCCGCCAGTAGCAGAGCGCGCGCACTCAACCGCTAAGCCACGGGGCTGGCCCTAAAAAATTAATTATTTAATCTCTCTTTATGCTATTACAAAATAAACTGAAACCTCACGTGCCATCCTTTTTGTGTGAGCAATGGGTTAGGCGTCAATACATGAGAGTGGTTATGAGCATTGCATTTAACCCCCAGCACCAGTATTTACTAAATCTTGGCCTTGGGTGAGTTACTTAACTTCTCTGAACCTTAAGTTCTTTGTGATTTGGGAATGGTAACAGCTACCTCCTGGGGTGGTTGTAAAGAACCAATGAAATCTTGTCTGTAGAGCATCCAGCATAGAACATAGTAGATAGTCAGTAAAGGGTAACTGTCATTGATAAGAATTCACAGTTGGTGTATGATCTCACTCATGTGTGGAATATAAACCAACACATGGACAGAGAAAACTGGACTGTGGTTACCAGGGGCAGTGGGGGTGAGGGAAGGGGGGTGGGGGGTGGGCACAAGGGGTGAAGGGAGTCATATATATGGTGATGGACAAACAAAAATGTACAACCCAAAATTTCACAATGTTAGAAACCATTAAAACATCAATAAAAAAAAATTCACAGTTGGGGGAAATGTCTGCGTGTATGAGAAACTCCATCTATTTTCCTTTTTCTTTGGGAAAGGCATAATTTCTGCCTCCAGTTCTGTGTGGTCTGGAGAGTTCAGGCTCTTGCCTGATGGACCCCGAATCAGGGTAAGATCCTTTGCAGTCGTACTTGCCTGCACGTCCCAGAGAACCTCTAGTGCCTGTAGCGTTACACAAATCTTTACAGCCACTTGCTAGCATAGTGCACAGTTAAATTGTCATTGGCCTGTTTGCTTCGCAGAGAGTCAATCCTCTAGCCCTTACCATATTCCAGGCAGTCACATCATTTCTCACTAACCATCTATTGCTTTCTCTTTGCAGATCCCTTCTGGCCTCTTTATTCCTAGCATGGCTGTTGGTGCTATAGCAGGTCGACTTTTAGGAGTAGGAATGGAACAACTGGCTTATTACCACCATGACTGGGCCATCTTCAATAGCTGGTGTAGTCAAGGAGCTGATTGCATCACCCCTGGCCTTTATGCGATGGTTGGGGCTGCAGCCTGCTTAGGTGAGTAGTTGATTTGCATTGATTTCAAAGAAGTTGCTACCTAAGTAACATAATAAAGAAGAGTGATATTAAACACAACTGACTGCAGATTATTTTTAATGCCCATCCATTTCCTATTGGCTTTGCCATTTTTCGAGAGTTTTAAGAAAGCATTCTTTACTATATATCTACATTCCTCCCTCTTGAGAGTAATTCTTCTTTCAAGTTTCATCATATTGAGGAAATAATCAGAAATTTGGACAAAGATATCTGTGTAAGAATGTTCATCATGGTATTATTTATAATAGCAAAAGTTAGAATCAACTTAAATGTGCACAGGAAGGGACTGGTCAAATAAATTATGGTACATCCGTATAATGTTATACTGTGCAGCCATTGAATGCAATCTTAAAATGTTTAACATCTTTAAATACAATGTTAAATAAATTTGTAATAATATACAAAATGTTCCTGACATAAAGTGCGAGGAAAAAGCATGGTGGGGAATTAAACATATAATATGAGCTCACCTATGTAAAAACATACATTTTTGCATAGTAAAAAACTTGAAAAAGTCATTCATAATTTTTACTTTGCATATTTATAGGCAATGAGATAATGGATAATGACTTTCTTTTACATACTTTTTAAAAAAATATTTTCTGAATTTTCCACAATGGGCCTGCATGTCCCAGAGAACCTCTTGTCCTTGTAGTGTTAGAAAAATGGTGAATATCTTCTGCAATTAATTTTATAAGTGGGGGGAAAAGCAACAGATAAATGGGAAAAAAAAAGAATCAAGAAGGCATCTTGTGCTTTTATAGATGTTGTTTTGAGAAATCTGACTCATGTCCATTATAAACTTACTTCAGCGCAGTTGCTGGGGTCTGTGCAGTTATAGGTGAGAACTCCTTTTAGCAATCTTTCTGGTAAGTAAGCTTTTCCTGGATAGGGCCTGTGACAGGCCCATAATTGTAATGAATCCTGTACTTTTCCTGCCTTCTGTAGCCTGTGTCTGTTTCTTTGCAGGCGGGGTGACTCGGATGACTGTTTCTCTTGTCGTCATAATGTTTGAACTAACTGGTGGCTTGGAATACATTGTGCCTCTGATGGCTGCAGCTATGACAAGCAAGTGGGTGGCAGATGCTCTTGGGCGGGAAGGCATCTATGATGCCCACATCCGTCTCAATGGATACCCCTTTCTTGAAGCCAAAGAAGAGTTTGCTCATAAGACCCTGGCGATGGACGTGATGAAACCCCGGAGAAATGATCCTTTGTTGACTGTCCTTACTCAGGACAGTATGACCGTGGAAGATGTAGAGAGCATAATCAGTGAAACCACTTACAGTGGCTTCCCAGTGGTGGTGTCCCGGGAGTCCCAAAGACTTGTGGGTTTCGTCCTCCGAAGAGATCTCATTATTTCAATTGGTAAGGATTTCAGAAATGGAATAATAGAATCCACTATGGAAATAAATAAATATATGTGAAATGAGGGAAGACAGAGGGAAAAGGGGACTAGTTAGGGGCCAGAAGGCTAGAACTAGCACTTCTATTTTCAACTTTATTTTTCTACTTTTCAAATAGAAAATGCTCGAAAAAAACAGGATGGAGTTGTGAGCACTTCCATCATTTATTTCACTGAGCATTCTCCTCCGATGCCACCATACACCCCACCCACCCTAAAGCTTCGGAACATCCTGGACCTCAGCCCTTTCACTGTGACTGACCTTACACCCATGGAGATCGTAGTGGATATCTTCCGAAAGCTGGGACTGCGGCAGTGCCTGGTTACACACAATGGGTGAGAGCTCTTTGGTGAAGGCAAAAATTGGATGGTGGGAGAAAAGATAATGTAGAGAGATAAAGAAAGAAGGAGAACCCAATTCAAATGAACGTTAGTAGCACTTCTAGGTCTTTTTGAAGCTGTGAGATGAAAATGGATGTGTTTCTTTTATCATCATAATTAATAGAAAAGGAGTTTGGGGAAGAAAGTGTGTTTGAGAGATGTGAACTGCTGGTTGCACACTCTAAATAACTCAGTTCCTCCCCCACAAAAGAAACAGCTGTGTTCTTATGAGCAGGCAGCACTGAAATTATAATGCTATTAGGTAGTATAAGTGTAGTATTTGGTTCTTAAATACCTTTGTTCTTATTATTTGAGGATGAGAAAACCAAGTTTTGGTGAGGTTTAAAGATTTACACAAGGGCTCTCAGTTAATATATATAGTAAGGATAGGCTTTAAACACAAGTTTTCTGACTCCCAAGGCCAAGGCTCGCTCTTTCTGGGATATTTCTTATCCAGTAAAGGAAGCTCTGCTGTTTTTATTGGAAAAGAAGGGAGGTTGGGGAGAAGGGTGGATTTTTTTCTGAACGTGATATGTTAATCCAGCAATTATATAAGAATTTCACCCCCTAAAATTTCTAAATGGTATAACAGATGTCCTGCAGGATTTAAATCAGCGAGGCGACTTTCCCTGAGTCTTTTAATGTTTACTGAATCCCTACTTCCTGTGAGAAGGTATTCCACTAGACTCCGGGAATAGGAAAATGAATAAGACCCTTTTCCGCCCTCGAGGAGTATGCAGTGTTAGAGGGGAGCTAAGAATACACAAGTGGGGCTAGCACAACAGTACACAGGACAAGCTGTTTGCTGGGAGGAGGACAGTTATTGCTGGCTTGTGGGATCAGGGAAGGTGTTCTAGGAGAGGGAGATTTGAGCTGGGTTGCAAAAGGTAAGTAAGATTCCTATATGTAGAGAAGAATATTTCAACCAGAGGAAATAGCAGGATCTGAGAACTAGAGCTAGAAATGCTTGGAGCATGTTTAGGAACCCATGCATTGTCCTATTTGCCTGGAGACGTAACCTAGTCCTGTTATCTCATCCTTCTGTAAGTGCAGATAGTGTTCCAAGACAAAGTTGAAAAGGCCTGAGGAGGAAGAATGTCACCTTTGAGAATGTTATTTTAACTCCACATTTATTTTTGTTTTATTGTCTTGTTTTGTCTTTTAGGCGATTGCTCGGAATCATTACCAAAAAGGATGTGTTAAAGCATATAGCACAGATGGCGAACCAAGATCCTGATTCCATTCTTTTCAACTAGAATCACAGGGTTGTGCTGAATATAAACAGGAAGGACGTTGCAGACCATGGATATATTTTATTAACTGGGTACCCAAAACACATTTCCCGTGTTTGGATGGTGAAGTTATATTAGCGTGTTGTCTCTTTCCTACAAGTTAACCAGTTGCACTACATAATCTCTGGAAATTAATCTTCTCTTTAGGAGAAAATACAGTTAGGCTTCTGTGATATTGCATTAGGAAGATTTCATGAAAGAGTAAGCAAAATTGCTATGGTTTAATTCTTTTTCTTTTTTTTTAATTTTTTTTTAATTTAAAACATAATTGTTAGCCAATATGCAATCACTGAAAACTATGCAAGAAAAATTCCAACCGTCCTGATCTATAGCCTGCAGGAAACTCATGAAAAAGTCACTTTTTTGGACTCTAAGTGTCATTGGTGGAAGATGAAGTATAAACTAAGGGGCTTTGCTTTTCCAACCACAGAAAGGAGAGCCAGAAGGAAAATAGTAATGATATTTTCCAGACTGTGAAAATTCAGTTCAAATGTTATATTGTTCCTGTTACAATATTTAGCATTATTAGTTTGTATGTGTGTTATGTGTATGTTAATTTTAATATCTGATTATAAGACAATGCTGCTTTGGTTAATCTCCTCTAAACAAATTTAGAGAGGTTGACTTTTATAGCTTGCTTGTTCCTGGTACTCTTTTGAAGTGCACAAAGATAAGTTAATAGAACTTTCTCCTTGTCTGCAAAAAGGGTAATTTTCCAGATGGTATTTGTTAGCTAGTAGACAAGGACTTTGCCATGAATTTGTTAGTAGCAAGAAATGACATCTCCAGCTTCCTTGAAATGAATGATTAGTCAAGTTCTAAGCAAAGTCAATGACTAGGAATTTCACATTTTTGTGAGGTCCCAACTAATCCTCTTACCCAGATGCCACCTCCACGAGTGATGGTGCTTTAGGCTTCTGGAATATGTAAGACTAGTAAAGGGAACCAAGTCTAGACTGCATACCGGTAAACCAGGGAAGATCCCGAGCTGTATCGGCATTCTCATGCATTCCTTCATAAAGACCACCAGTACTAAAATAACTGGGCACTCATGCCTCCTCCCGTGAGTACGTATAACAGGCCAGTGTTGTCCCCAAGAACACGAATTTAGGCTTGGGGTACTTTCAAATATGTTCAATGCATTGGAACAGGATAGGCACCTGTGACTCCCTTGAGGCTCCTTGGAATTCTAGATAAAATGTAGAACCATCCTAAGACCCAGGGATGTGGACAAGGCCTGGTGACACCAAAGGTGCTTGTATCCAGTTGAAAAGGTGCCTCTCTCAATTTCCTACCACCTTTTCTGCAGTAGAACACGTCACACTAGAGGGACACCTGCTGGAATTACAGAGCCACCACCATCGTTCCGACTGCTGCTTCATTTCTGAGTTTCACCTCCATGCAGTTATACCCACTCCGTTCTTTTCCCTTTCCCGACTCCTCAGTCCTGAGTCCTCTCTTTGGAATTGAGCACTCTGCTTGGTCAATCATTCCTATTACAAAAAATAACTCCCAGGGCTAGTTAAATTGTAAACCAAGGCTCAGCAGTCTCATGGCATGTGGACCAGAGGTAACGCACAGACATTTGCTTTGCTCTGCAGCCCAGTCGCTGCTGCCATACCTCCATCTCCACGCTGATGCCCACAGCAGTGAGACTTAACTGCCAGGGCAGAGAGTTCAGCTTGTCCCATTTTGCAAGTCTGTTCCCAGCACTTCCTACCATCCTTCCAGCCTGGAATCAGCAGTCACTTGGCATAGCCTGTGCCCACCTCCACCTCCCCCCCGCCACCTCCCTGCCCTGAACACTTCAGTGTACCTCATTTTAAAAGTTGCTGATCCCTGATTCTAGGATTTTTTTACCCCTATTCTTATCTTTCCAAAATCTGAAATTCTGTCGTTGCCCAGAACTGGGTAGCCAAGGCTTGTTTTGATTGTTATCTTTAAAATATCAAGGCAGTCAACAGTGTTTCTCCTTTTAAGTATACCACTCTAGCATTTTAATGAAAAAGGAAAAAAGCTCTCTAAGTTATATTATATCGTAGTCATGACTCAGTAACTACATCTTTTGTCCCTTCCGTGCCACTGATTCCCTCACACGAGATGAGGCTATTTGCCTGACCACCCCTGTATATTGCGTAGAAATGAAAGTTCTTATCTATATATTTCTGGTTCACTACATATCTTTTCTTATTAGCCACCCAACTAAAGTTTTCAAAACAGGAAATGTTAGTATTTCTGGTATTTGATGACAGTGAGAGGGTTGGTCACATTTCATAGTACAGCAGCAATATGGAGGGTGTCTAAGTTTGCCTTTGTGTTTCTTCTAGGCTGTTTTTTATTTTAGACAGATGAGCCAGTGTTAAGGTGCTACTTCAGAGAATAAATTCAAGAAATCAGATAACACTGTGCCAAGGTATACTTTGTAGATGCTAAGCACCAGTTGGCCCTCCAGAGAATAATATCCCTTTGATACCTCACTCCTGATAAATCTCATTCATTAACCTCAGCTTCTCAGGAATCCTTGTAACTAGTATGCTAGAAGTAGCTGTAGTGTAAGGTATCCATTATATGTCCAATCCTGTGGTTTGGCTCAAAGATTGGCTAATTGTGGCTAGAGCTCTCTGCTAGACTGCTAGCTCAGCACCTTAACGCTCCGAGTTTCTTGTCTTGAGGCAAAGGAAAATGTCCTTTGTGCCATTGCCAATTCAGCAGTTGGACATACTTAACCAATAAACAAAGCTGATATGGGGAGGTCTGTCAGTAGCCTCAAATGGCCACATACTTCAATGGCAAAAGACTAGATAATCTGTGATTTAAGAATGAACATGAGTTGAGACTAGTCTATTTCGGAATTAAAAAAAAAATCGCCTGACACAAGGGAAGGATTTACGAAAGAATGCCAGTAAGTGCTTCAAGAGGGTTAGGATTTTCCAAGGAAAAGTATCTGGTAGACATCTGGCCATGAAAGGAGTGAGAGTCTATAGATTTAGAAAAGTCGAACTACTATGTTTTGTATCTTCAGATTTTCAAAGTAAATAGTTAAAGAAGCTGAAACAGGTAATACAAGATTAGTTATACCGTTGGAGGGAAGAAGCAGGGGACTGAAAATGCAAAATAATGGCCACTTTCAAGATCATTTCTATTTGGATGTTTGTTCACACACTCTTCTCTTTTCTGGCTCCGGCATCCTTCTGGCTGAGCTCAGCTGTGGAGTAGAAGTGGTATAATCCACAGAACAGATATCCTCTGGTGGATAATCTGACATTGACGATACTTTGGATTTGCCAGCTGGCAGAGCAAATGATTAATTTGTTTTGGCACCAGGGGCTGAATCTGAATCCTATGCAGGAAGAGCAGAGCACAGTATAAATTTCTCTGGCAAGTCTTCAATTATGTTTGAACATGAGAATGATAAAGTAATGGGGACTTAGTGTGGTCTAAGACTGCAAAGTAATTCTCAACCATGATCTTATGAACCCGTCAGGTGTGGGGGAAGCAAATATGTTTTAAAAAACTTAACATGCAATATAGTCCATCATGCAAAATAATCATTGCTGTGTGTTTTAAGTATTTCAATCACTTCTCCTGGTTGGGTCTTGATCTTGGTTTGTTTTGTTAGGTGATGAGTAGGAGGGTGTACTTGTTACCCCACAATATCTTTTGGTTTTGTTTTTTAATAAATCACAAAGAGTGCAATTTTTGGAGTTTTTAATAATGATAGTGAAGACAGTATTGAGAATTTGAAACAGCCGGTGTTTTATATTACCAAAGTACTTACTGATGACTGACCACATTGTATTCTGAGGAATCAGTTTACCTTCACTGGATCAGAGCCAAATGCAGGCCACCCATCAGTTCAGAGAAAGCAGGAGAGCATCTTCCATGGTATTGCAGAGAGTAGTGAGCTCTTGAAAACTCTGAGAAAAATTAGGAATTTAGGAAGGAAACGAGAGGTAGAATATTGAGTCCTTAAAAAAATAGATGTATAAATATGTGGTCCGAACTTAAGTGTCCTAAAACCTTGATTTTTTTTTTAACCACCTCTGGGATTGCCTGGATTCCCTTTGGAGAGTGAATGAAAAGTTATGGCTGTGTTTTCGAAAAGCCCTAGTAAGAAAATACATGAGTTCGTGTAAGATAGTGGGAGGAAGGCCATCCCACGCCCCAAGCCGTACATCCTGGCATTTAAGAACTGCTCGATCATGTGCCTCAAGGGAAGAAAAAGTCAAGTAGTCGCCCAGAGACCAGGCTTTCCAAGCAAATGAGAGGCTCAAAGCAGTATTCAGCTGGAGGCCATCTGTCTACTTTTATGCAGAAGGCTGACCCAAGACAAGACATCTGCTCCTGAAGGAGGGCTGCATCTACTGCCATTGCCTAAATGATAAGCTTTAGGTAGATAGTTTGAATTTTTATAGCAAATTTTTTTTAAACTTATATTTTTAGCCTCCTTAGTATGTACTTATTGTATATTAAAAAGAAAAAGGTATGGGTTTCTCAGATCAGAGCTCAGGGAGCTATATAAATTTGACGTGAAATCGGTGTAGTGGACCTCTGGTGACCACTCAACTTTGCTCTGCCTCAATTTTGGTTGTTTGCTCCAGGGAGAGAAGTTGTTGGAATAGTAGGTGTTAGCAACTTCAAGTCGCTCCCCAGGTGTTTGCTGGCCACAGTCTCATTTCTAAACATCTGGATCTGGGCAAAGTTTTGAAGTGATGAAGGGAACAAAATTGGTTTTTCCACTGTGTAGTCTGATTTTGCCAAATCACCCAAGAGAGAAAGAAAGTATATGATGTGCGGAGTTTGCATTTCTTGGAAGAGACCTATCGGATCACCCAGCTCAATCCTACAGTCATAAATTCCTACCTCTAAGTTCTGCTAAAGGGTCTTCAGCCTCTGTGCACACACTCATTGAATGAATGCCTTGCCTAAAGTTTGCCGTTTAAGGAGAAATGGCATGTGATGGTATAAAAATATGAGGGTTTAAAAAGATGATCTCTGCCTCTACTTCTCTCCCTCCCTCCTTCCCTCTTTTTTTCCCTTTCTGTCTCTCTCCTTCTCTTCCCCTTCTCCATGCCCTAAATTCAAATTTTTCTCAGTTGTTAACAAGCATGTTGTTTTGAATGTGGACCTTGGGTGAGGGAGAGGATCGTTCTGAGAATAGAGAATGGAAGATGCTTCTGAGTTGATAGTGCCAGCAGGGCTTTGCTCCATTGTAGAGGCTAAAGCCAACGGTATTTGTTGAGAGTGTTGAGGGCTTTAGCATCTCCTTGCGGACGTATGAAGTATTCATTGCTAAACCTTATTATTATCTACTAGTCCAAATCTGTTGAAAGTCAAAGGCAGTCTAGGATTTGGTGAGTGAAATGCCATCTGGCAAAATGGGGACGAGGGAGTGGCCTGAGATGGTTTTATCAGGGTGGGAATGTTCAGCCTCATTTTCATTTGCGTGTACCTCAAAATATATGGTCCTTCAAGAGTGCTCCTTTTCCCTCCTCCATTTCACGTTATCCTTTCTTCTCCCTCCTTTCTCTCCCATTGTCCTGCCTTTTTAGTACTCAGCTTTTTTATAAGTATTTACTATTTTATTATATATTTGGTCCTTTGGGACTGTGTAATGATTAAGAATTAATTTCATTCTAGATAGAAAATGATGTGTTTAGTATTTTGTTCTCTTAAACTGTCTTTTGAAGCTCTGCTGCTAACCAGGTACAGGCCAGAAAGGAGTTGGGCCTGACAGACAATACCCTGGTCATGTCACCTAAGGATGACACACTGATGTCATCGTGGTGACTCTTCTTCATTTGACCAAGGCCACCCTCCTGCTCTTACCTCTGTCCATTCATTTCTGGCTATGGGAAAAATACCACCTGCTGGGTGAGCCAATGAGGCCAAGAGGATCAGAGGGGCCAGGTCCAGCCCATGGGCCACTGTATGAATCCCTCTAATAAGCTCATTTATAGGGCCGGCTCCAACTGCAGTAGCCAAAGAAAACCTGTCTGACTGGACATTTTAGTTCCTAAGAGTTGGTAAAAGTTCAGCTGAAGCTAATGTATAGACATCAGCAGTAGCTAGGCATCCAGAAACTAGTGTCAACCCAAGCTGATGTAGCCTGAGTTTTCACAGGAAGCTTGGTGCTGAGCTGTTCAGAGCAACTATTTGTCTGAGTGTTGCCAACCCTTTAGTCACGCTTTCTTAGCTTTATTCTAACTTTTAGAGATGTTGGCCCCTATTCATATGCACAGCTTGTACCAAAGCTGTGGCTCACTGCTCTCTTCATTCTTCTCCCTGGTCATGCATAGCAACATAGTCTAACAAAGAAGACATGGGCTGGGGAGTAAGGAGACCTGGTTTCTATTTCCTATGCTTCTA